CTAAATATTAGTGTAGATTGCCCAAGAAGCGTACTGAAACAGAATATTAAATCAGTTTTAATGTCTTGAAACACATCTGTCTTCTGCGTTTCTTCTTAAGACATTACATTAAGGAAACTCGCTCTGTTGTCTGCAGTCAAAAGAGAGAGGGCCGTAATTGAGACCGGCCCCTTCGAAGTTGGAAAAGAATTCGGAATTGGGATTAATTTTGTTTTGGCTATTTTATGACGCCGTCGGGGTGGCCCAGGAAGAAATGTCAGTATTCTGGAGGTCGTAGTTTCGGTCATTGTAAGCAATATGTCCAATTCCGAACAGTTTCCGAGATAGAGCTGCTTCACTGTGCAGTTCCAAAACTGTTAATAAGAAAGATATTACGTACTGTTTCTAATACCGGTATTTATTGTTCAAGTGACAAAATTGGTACAGTTTACCTAGTCTAATACATTTCCGAGAATTCCACCGTCAACAACAGTGCACTTTGCAACTCGTGTGAGGACATGGCGTGTTGCTCGTCTGCACAGTGTACAGTGAAATAGCTCTATCTCGGTGCAATTCGTGTGAGGAAATGGCGTGTTACTCGTCTGTACAGTGTACAGTACGGTACTGTACAGTGAAATAGCTCTATCTCGGTGCAACTCGTGTGAGGACATGGCGTGTTACTCGTCTGTACAGTGTGCAGTGTACTGTACGGTGAAATAGCTCTATCTCGGTGCAACTCGTGTGAGGACATGGCGTTTTGCTCGTCTGTACAATGTACAGTGTACAGTGTAGTGTACGGTGAAATAGCTCTATCTCGGAAACCGTTCGGAATAGGACCCACACACATGCACACTTCTTGCTTAGAATGACCGATTCCGTGACCTCCCAGAACATTGACCTTTTCTCCTGGGACACCCTTCATAGCAACAGATGATGTCATGATACGCAGAGTGTTTGGAAAGAAGCATTTGTGCCTGAATCGACATGTTATTATGACATGTACGTTCCTCGGTCAAGATAGCAGGTGTCTCAGTCGAGATTCGAACCTGGGGCGCTACTACCACGCCACGCACCTAATCAGGCTCTAGTAGGCGTGTGTACTGACAGCCATAAAGAGAAACACAGAACTCTGTAAGTACGCTGGTCCAGAAGCAGAGACTCACAAACTGTTTCTCTTCGTGTCCCTTCACCAGAAGGCAGGCCGAAGCCCAAATTAAGTCAGCAAATGCGTCGAAATTATGGACAAATTAAAATATTCGGAACAACAGCAATGAATCAGAGTCGCACTCAGGAAGCTCAATTCGGGTAATGCTTGCAGCCATTCAGTTCAGAAGCTCTTGTCTTCGAGTCTGCAATTTAAAAATGCGAAGATTAAGGAAGACATAGAAAAGTATAGTAATTTCACTTGGTCTATGTTGAACCTTACCGACTTTCGAAAGCTGTGCGAGGATACAGCTCTGTTCTAAAGAGATTTACAGAACTCAGGTTGCCGGTTACACTAGGGTTGCGGCCTGTATGTTCAGAAACAGCGATGTGAGAGAGGAGCGCATATTGGTTCAGAAGTTGCCAAGGGAAGAGGCACACGAACAGCACGATACGGTATCAGAGTGGGCTGAAATCATCCACACGTTTCCATTTATTTCCCATCTGCATTACAGAGGCCGTTTCGCTCTTCGACAAATGTCGTGTGTTTGAATGTACATTCGAAAAGCGTTATCTGAAATTTAAGCAAATAAAATCGATCAAGATAAAGTAATTAATCATAGTGTGTCGTGACTGAGAGCAAACGAAATGAAGTTATCGGCACCTGACGGTTATGTACAGTTTATGTAAGTTTTCTGTTACAACTAGAATTTTGAAACTCTTCATCTCTGACAGCTAGAACAAGCCATCTGCCACACCCCAGTCGGGCAGTACATCGTGTCCCCAATGTCTTTAACCGTGCGTCATAATCAGATCGTGATGTTCATCGTTACGTCATCATTATAAAGTTACTACCTTCGGTTTTTAACACGCGATGGGAACGAAAGTCGCCATGCCAGGGGTCTCGTTGGAGACACACGGGTTCTCTTACACAAGGTTACGTACTCAAGGCATGACGTACGCGGTGTACGTATGTGTTTCGTGTGATTCTCAGAATAAACAACGATTATTTCCCGAAACAGCATTAACCGGTTGGGCTTTATAATGAAAACGTAGTGTTTCCTGTGAGGTACGAACTGAATTTTTAAAATCTTACTTAGATATTTTTCTGACTTCAGCGGGCTAAAATTCCCGAAGTTCTTACAAGATGCAAATATGACCAGGGCATAATGTGGGTTTAGCAAAGAGTATGAGAGAGAATGAGGCTTTCTGAGCCTGTGGTAAATATATGGACCGCTTGTTTTGACGGTATATAACAATTCTGCACACAAATCTTGCTGTGGGAACAACAGTTCTTTCGTTGAGCACACTGAAGACTGATGTTTGTAACAGATATGTGGTGTATTCTCTGAGGGGTAAAATATTTAAAATGTTATGTGAATCGGTACCTTACAAAGGGTTAAAATGCCTAATTGACCACATCGTGTTAGACAGAGTACGTAGTAGTATATGCCCTTATGCCCATATTATCCGCAGAGAGAAACATTCTGTTTGATATGTTATATCAACGCATCTGGGAGTTATTTAGGATTGGCAATACAAAGGAATATCATCACATCCATTAGTAGATAGTACTGCAGTTCTGACAGATACATTAGGGATAGTTCTCTTCCGTGAACTGTGTAAATAGAGCCACCAAGCTGACGTGTTTGTTACGACAGTGGCATGTTACATTTGAAGCCTGAATGTCACATAAATAATATTTAAAACACAGTTCGTACCTCACAGGAAACACTGCGTCACCATAACAAACACCAACCGACTAATACAGTTTAGGGAGATAATCGCTGTTTATGGGGACAACCATACGAATCACATACAGTGTGTTAGCAAAACGTTTTTTTTATTGTTATTGTTATAGCAGGTGGTACCTGTAGGTACCACTGTGCTGAAAGGGTGCGCTGGTGATGTACTGGCCACGAGGAGCGGTGGGCTGTGTGGACGCACACAGTTGGCTAACGCCCAGTGCTTCAAGTAGATTCTACAGGGCTCTGACGACGGTGTATAACACTCAGAATTACTGTTCTTTTTGGACTTTGGCCGTCGTCACGTAGTCAAGAAACGAGAGAGAACACGACGTTTCGGAGACTGGGTCTATTTCTGTCCTCAGGTGAGAGGGGAGGCATCTACTCTGTTGAGTCCCTTAGAAGGATTAATAGCGTAAATGAGGCCGTCTATACAACAATAATATCTACAGAATGAAGACAAAAATAGATATTAACGTACCAACATTTTCTTTATTAATACCTATTATACACAGGTGTTGCGCTACATGTTTCATCCTTTCCTAGGTCATCATCAGGCCAGTCACAAAAATATGAGTCTGAGTTCTTGAATTGAGTTACCTTAATATGGATCCATATTTTACCATTTGGTGTTTTAGTTTTTAGTAGCGTATACATCGGGGCACGCGGTAGCGTAGTTGGAGTCGCTACGCTACAAGCCGGAAGATCGTGGGTTCGACTCCCAGTGAGGCCATTGAATTTTTCAGTTTATCTAATCCTTCCAACCGCACTATGACCTTGGGGTCGACTAAACTTCTAAAGAAATGAGTACCAGGGATCTCCCTGGGGGTAAAGGGCGGCCGGAGCCTAAGGCTGACAAACTTACCGTCATCCGTGGGCCGATGGTTTAGAAAATTGGGGAACCTCGACGTCTCACAATCATGTGGGCCTCCACGGCCTGTTATAGGGATAATTTTACTTTTTTTGAATAGTGAATACATCTTTATAATTTGTAACCGAAGAATACACCCGAAACATCTGGTAATGTACGGTTTTTATGTAAGTTTAAGATTGTTTTAAACTAATATATAATTTGTATTTTAGTATTTGTCTTTAGAAGGAGTAAACCTCAGTCACATCCTCCAGTGATTGAGGTCCGCTCTTAATAAGAAACCCAGCAGAGGTGCCTCCTCTCTTATCTGAGGGCGGAAAGAGATCCACTTTCCGAAACGTTGTGTTCTCCAGTTTTTAGAATATCGGACGATGGACAATTAATTCGCATAGTGGGGGGTGGAGTCCATTTGGGTCCACTCGGCACGGCGGCCACTGATTGGCCTCTTGTACCTGCCCTGGGTGGTTATGATGATGAAGAACTTGGTGGAATGAAGATTGGCAGGGGAAACCGAAGTACTCGGAGAAAACCCACCCCAGCGCCACTTTGCCCACCACAAATCTCACTTGACCAGAACCGGGCCGCCGCGGTGGGAAGCCAGCGACTAACTGCTTGAGCCCTCAGGACGATGGACAAAATGCAAAACCCAGTAATTCTAAGCCAATTGTTGGCGACTAAAACTGCAGACTGGCAAGATGTGTTCCTGATAAAGTGAGTTGAGTCAGTAAACATCTTGCCACCCAGCGCTGTCTGGTGGGACCTGCAGACAACGTCGTTGAATAAACCGTAGGTAAAGTAAGTAAAAAAAGGAAGGTAGACGGGATTTGGAAACAGTCGACGTGGTGTAAACGTGTAAGGAGAGAGTAAATTTGATTCAAATTTACATGCCGGAGTAAACCTAAAGGTATATAAGAGTTACTGTTTGGTTAAAATTGTTCTAATTAGGGACGTTATCGACTGGGGAACGTAAATTTGTGCAACCGACAGAGTTTGGACTAAGAGTAAATACGTTTAAGGCCATCTTGTAAGAGGATATTTGGCCTATGTTTACCATCATTGTGTTGTATTTTTTATTGAGTTTTTGTGGAGTACTTAAACCAAGCTCCTTTCTTGACAACAGCTTTCCTTTGTATTTATTTTGTTTCCAGTATACAGAGTTTCATTAAGAGTTGCTTACACAGTCTGGGTGAAGAACGCTTTCCCCAGGAACACACACAAGGACAATAGGAGGGAATTAAATTAGTTCTGGTTCCACAGTGGAATAATGGCCGTGTTAAAACCAGACAGAAGTACCCATTCTCCCGGGATATGGCTGCTTTTCGTGTCAATATCACAGTACATAATAGCGGAGACTGTAAAGTAGGAATAACACTGACATTTGGCAGCTGAAGGAAGCTGTAAACAGCGGAATGAAGGCTCGAAACTCAGCAAAGGACTTCACCGCAGCTCTTGGCATGAGTGTGCAGTAAGTTGCATAATATCTTAGGGTGTTCTCTGTGAGGTACGTGGTAGGAAACAAAAGTTACATTGTCCTGTACAGGGTTGTTATACACGTATAAACGAATGTACCAGACCCGTTAGGTAACTGAATACTGACGCTTCTCTTTACAGAATTAAAAGAAAAGGCGTTGCCAATATGGTGTTGTGCCTACCCACGTAAGTCTAGCTGTGTTTATTTTACCATAGTTTGTGGAAGTTACTTAATCTTGTCACATTTGCCGGGAAGACGAGGGAACAGTACTTACCAATTTCCCGATGTGTTGGCACTGTTGGAAACATCAGAACCGCTAGTTTTACCCCGTCTAACGCACATTTCTTCTTATCGCGTGTTTCGACGAAGGTCAATTCAGATCATCGCCAAATGATTCACAGTTGTACAGTTTACATTAATGGTTTGATGTGTGGTTTTCTTTTATGTATCTATGGCTGTACAGCCCTCGTGGACCTTGGCCGTTTTTTTTTTCAATTTCTTATATCTGTACACAGTCGGTAGGACTCCTTTGATGGGGGATCAGCCCGTCGCAAGGCCGCTATCTACGCCCAGAAACGCAGCCAGACATCCATGCCTCGAGTGGGATTCGAACCCACGATCTTAGTGTTCGAGCTTGAGAAGACAGTTCATACCTTAGACCGCGCGGTCACTGTAATCGGATGATTTTCTTTCATGTGCAGTCTAATTATTTACCTGTTGAGGACGGGACTGTTTGAAAGGCCCTGGCGAGATTAGAGGTTTACATTGGGCCCAGCAGTGGTCTGAGTGGAACCCCCCACCTTTCAAGTCTTACAATACACTGCAGCAGTTATTTACTTAGGTAAATTGGAGTGCGCCGGTCTCGGTAGCCGAGCGGTCTAAGGCATGTACTGTCTTCGCTCGCTTGGAAACCGGGATCGTGGGTTCGAATCCCACTCAGGGCATGGATGTTTAGTTTGTGTGTGTGCGTTTTTCTGTGTTTGTGTACAGGTAGAGGCCTTGCGACGAGCTGATTACCCGCCCAAGGAGTCCAACCGGATGTGTAAGATCTAGAAAAACCGAAGTGAACGGAGAAGTTCATGGAGGTAGGCCTAGGCCCACTGGGGCTGTAGTGCCAAGGAAAAAAAAAACGTGCAGTGCTGCGTCTATCGTCATTGAATTTGCGTTAATTGGGCTTGCGAGAGCTGAGGGGGTCCTGCCAGCCCTGGAACCAGAGTACTCCATGCATTGTTCAGCCAGCACTGCCGATATAGAGTTATGTGTGTTCCAACACTTCCAGGGACCTTGGTAGGTTGAGCGAATCAGTGCCAACAGTCGCCAAGTCTCACCGCATGATTACGTAGTATATATAAGTACTGTTGCGCTGCCTTGAGGCGAATCAACTGAAATTAAACGACGCTCTCTGTATCTGGTTAACACGGAAACAAGAGCAATGTATGTGTGTGTTATTCCTGTTAATTTGTCGCAAGTTTAAGGCCTTGTTTCCTGGTCATTATGGCGGGAAAAGATTTGCTGTGGGAGGGACTTCTGTCGGATAAAGAACTGCAATTTATCCTCTTAACTGCTCTCGAATATAGTTTCATGTTTGATGTGAGTTTGTGTGCGCGAAAAGCAGTAACCCAGTAGGTTTGAATTTCCCACCGGCGTATGAGTACCATAGATCTGTTCAGAACAGAATGCAGTAAACAGGATATGAGGTTGTCACACCAGTGGTTATATAGAGTACTGTCTTCTGGGATATACGCCGTGCAGTCTGTTGAAAGGCAACCGACGTTTCGGAGGAACATCGCCTCCGTCTTCAGGGTCAAATAAGTCGAGCAAGATACGAGCGTGAAAGCGGTTGGCATATCGGGGAGGACTGGCCGGGACACCTGATATCCTAATGTTTTTATGGTTTTGTTCCGCCTCTCCATGGAAATGCTGGAGTAATACGGGCTCTTCTTGGCAAGTCCTTTCCAATTCATTATTGGCCATCCTACAGTTTCAGCCTATATAGTCTAGTTACACCGTCATAAAAACCAACTAGAAATGACACCGTGTAGTCTGCTGGGTGAGTGCCTATGCAGAGTATACTGTGAGTTACGTGAAACTAGCGCTTTGATTATATTGAGTGTTATTGGTTAAAATATGAACAGCGCGCTAAAGTTTGTTATTTATAACCAGGGGCTGGAAGACCCTCTCTTCTGTTCGTCCGAAACGAGTGAAAAACTAAGGGAGACAGAAAAAATTATTTGGTTTGTCGTATCATATTCTGTCCCGCGCGCTCTCAAGTGTAAGTAAATATGAGCAAGTCTCTTTATTAGCAGATTTTTCACGTTTTGACTTCTGCTGGATACGAAAAGGTTTCTTTATGCTGCCTCCCTGTGTATGAGTGGGCGCCTGGCTGTCGCCTAAACGGTTGGACGATTTTATTCACCAATGTATTCGTCCTAGGTCGTTGGCCGGTGATTCTAGTCATTCTAACCTCTTAGACGGGCACTTCAGGTGGGCCCTAAAACACTAAATGATCATTTTCTCAAAATCGTGTGTATCACATCTGATCGCGTTTCAGTAATTAAGGGGGCTATTTTTCCCCTTTGGCGATACAGCCCCATTTTGGGCTTTGGGCCACCTCCATGAAACTTTCTGTTTCACTTCGTTTTACTGGATCTTAAACATTCGGTAACACTGATTAGGCGGGCGATCAGCTCGTCGCAAGGCCTCTACCTGTGCACGAACACAGATAAACGCACACATACAGACATCCATGCCCTGAGTGGGATTCGAACCCACGATCCCGCTTTCCGAGCGAATGATGACGGTGTATGCCCTAGACCGCTTGGCTATCGTGACCGGCTAAGGGGGACTAAAAACTCCGTGGTTATAGTCCACGAGCGAACAATACCGACCGAGCGACCGCCGCTTGTCGGCGAAGTTAGTGCCAACTTTAGCGGATAGAGGGTGTCACGTGGTCAACGCAACGGTTCCCACAGCCGTTAATCTCGGTTTTCTAGACCGGAGCCGCTATTTCCTTGAACTAGTTCATCAGTTATCCCCACGAGGCTCAGTGAACCCCGTTCCATACCCACAATTTCTCAGAAAATTTGATAGCGCCGGGAATCGAACCCGGACATCTGGATCTGTAGCCAGGAACTCTGACCACTAGACCACAGGGGCAGTCAAGGGGGACCATATCCTTAAATAAATCTACATCGGTGGTTTCTTCAAGGAAATAACTGTACGTGCACTGAGGGCGCAGTCGCGGTCAGACGGATTGTTCGGTATTCTACGGAGCAACGGTCGGTTCGTTATTATTTACCTTCAGATGTTGCAGGAAATGACACCTTGTACACGTAGTTCACATGCCCCGTGTGTTGTGTGGCTTGTGTAGGTGCAGTTTGTCTTCCGGGGAAGTGTTTGGCTCATGGAATTGTCAGACCGGTGAACCATGCAGACATTTGTTGATTCCTGTATATGTCCGTTATGATTTGCTTAATGGCTTTTGGTGTCTCCGAACTCTGCCTTATAATTCCCGTTCGTGTTTCACATGTTTTGTTTGCAGCTGTGCCGTTCTCCTGGTTTCTCTTCTTTTCCTAGTGCTCTTCCTTTGCATTCGTAGACCCTTGTCTCGGCTCCCCGTCACATTAACACAGAACAGATGTATTTGCAAAGGACAGGCGAAATTTGTTGATTTCTATTGTTTCTGAGACCAAAGAAAGATTTTTATTGCGTTCAACAAGGGAAATGCAAGATGTGTTGTGAATGAACTTCCTTTGAAAAGAACGGATTTGGGGAAGACATTTGAATTGCGTCTACAAATTTACGAAATTCTTCTCAGTCGCAAGAAACTCCCGTGTTCGGGGAACAATGCAGAGCTTGATTTTTTTTTTCTGGTTGGCCGCCAGGAGACGAGCAATCTGCAGACACTACTGGGTGTCGTTACTCTGATGCTCGATCGCGAATTCTTCTCGAGTTACAGGAGGAAATTCAAGTGCCGGATATTGATTGTTTACTGATGTAGGTTTTCCTCAACCAGAATATCATTGAACCTAAAATGCATGGAAATTATACTAATAGGTAAAAATAGGTAAAGCTATCCCTGTAGCAGGCCGTGGAGGCCCATAGGGTTGTGAAACGTTGAAAGTCCCACATTATCTAGACAATCAGCTCAAAGATGGCGGTAAGGTTGTCAGCCTTACATGCCAGCCGGGCGCACTTTACTCCCCAGGAAAATTCCTGGTACTCATTTCTGTTAGAGGCTGAATCGACCCCAGGGCCATAGTGTGGCTGGAAGGATTCAATGACCTCATCGGGACTTGAACCCGCGACCTTCCGGCTTGTAGCATAGTGCCTCGACCAACTAGGCTACCGCGCGCTTACAGAAAAAATTTCTTTCCATTACAATACCCAGTTGGTTAATGCTGTGTAAGGGAAGTTATTGCTGTTTATTTTAAGAATCGCACGAAATACGAGTACACAGTTATGTTTTGCATGTGGGGGGAGGGCGTGTAGGATCTTAGCATTAAGGCATGTGCTGCATATACTGAGACTGTACTTTAAGCAGTGAAACTCATGTGGCACGTGACTTAAGGTATACGTATGTTATTGTATTATATTGTATCGTGAGGAGCCGTTTTTATGTAATGACCGCGAGATGGGCGGATATACCGGACAACGGCTCGGTAAACTCGTTCCCGCGGAGACGAATAATGCAACAGTTGGGCCATAAGAATGGAAACGGAGTGTTTCTATGGTGGTCAGTGCAAAGAGGTTATAAGCAAGGGACGAAGCCAGTTGAAAGTTGGGTTCTGTGCTGGAGGCTGTGAAGAGAGGACCTGGGCGCGTGAAGCTGAAGAATCTCCACTGTTAGAATCCGTTGCCAGGAAATGGCTTGAAGGCAGTAAGATGGAAAAGGCTTAGCGGGTGCTGTGGTGATTTGTGAGTTGTGTAGATTAGCGGCGGCGCTGTAATTTTTGTAGTTGGTGTGTTTAAGTGGCCAATAAATCGAGTCACCAGCCCAAACCCTGTAGATAATCACACCCCTTCACCACGCCTCAGTTCTTCAACGGGGGAAAAAATGTGTAAAATGCGCCTCTTATATTTTAAGCACTACAGTATTTGGTGGGAGGTACGCGGTAGCGTAGTTGGTTCAGGAACTGTGCTACAAGCCGGGATGTTACGGGTTCAATTCCCGGTTGTAATGTTG